AATCACAATACTAATTTAGTTAGATGTTTAATTATACCAAAAAACGGAAAGCCAAATTCATTACAATTTATGAATATCCAACGTGGCGATCAAAGTATAAATCATATGATTTGATTGGATAGTTTCGAATAATATCGATTTAATTTTGCAAAAATATTATCGATATGGTCAAAAATATCGATTTATAGCAATTTATACCTAATCAATAACCAGAACGCAAAGATAACGTGATCGATAACATGATTGGAAACCATTTTGAAAATGTAGTTCTCGGAAAATTTCAATAACTCGGATTAGCCAAGTTGGTGGTCGTACCCTAAGATAGATAAATATTAGGTTATCTGGATAACCGGATTATAAGATTGGATAACGGGTTGATATCCGGTTAACTTATCAAGTCAACTTAAAAATAATATAATACATATAAGAGCGATGCCAAGAAAAACAGGGCTTCAATCATATGAAATTTATATAATTGAAGTCACATTTTCCTTTTTTTTAATATTAAAGGTGAGACCATACTCTTATCTTTATTAAGAAGTCTCGTTTTCCTTTGGCATCATGCATAAGATATTTATATCAAATCCATACCACAATTTTCACAGCTCATATCTCGATGAATTTTGAAGCTATCTTGATGATTCAATATTCAAAAGAAAGCCTAGACCTTAATCTTCAAAAAGAATATTAAATTATCAAACTAGCTTCAAAATTCATCGAGATATTAGTTGTGAAATTTGTGATATGGATTTTTTTTAAAATGTCAATCTGCCTGATTCTACTGGTTAGATTTAAACATTTTTATTACCATAACCTAGCAGGATAAATAATCTACGTTTTACAAATGACAGCAATCATGTGAGTTTGGCCAATCTTCGGTGTAACATGAGAATAATCATTCTAATAGTTCATTATGGTTAGTGTTAGGATGAGAAAGTTCGTATTATAAAATCATTCTAATAGATTTTATGGTTAGTTTTAGGATGAGAAAGTCATATTATAAAATCATCCCAACAGTAAAATCCCGACAAATCCCGACAACAAAAAATTATTAAGTTCATTTAAGTTAGGGTAGGGTTAGGTGTGTGCATAGGTTAGGGTTAGGGTGGCGCTCAGGTTAGGGTTATAGTTTAGGTGATTATATAGTAAAATTACACACCTTTTTTGTTTGTCGGGATTTCTGATTGTCGGGATTTTTTGTCGGGATTATGACCTGTCGGGATTTTGACCAAAACTTATATTTAAAATATCCGGTTAACTTATCCGGTTAGTTTAAAAATAATATAATACATATATGAGTGACGCCAAAAAAAACAGGGCTCCAATCATATGAAGCTTATATAATTGAAATCTCATTTTCCCTGGGCATCATTCACAAGATATTTATATAGATATATTAATCATGAAACAAGATAAGAACAATTTTCAAATAGAAAAAAATTGCAACCGATTGCATTTCTTAATGTGTTAAACAAATGTGAATATTTCTTGTTTCACCGACATCATTCACAGATAGCCCGTTTAGCTGACATCATATATTAGAGTTTCGCTTGACGTGATGTCGACAACGGTAAATAATTAATAGGAACCTCTAATTACAGTGATGTTGAAATGCTCATTATAAAACCTGAGCAAATGCCTTGAATTAGATTCTACTATATAAAAATTAAATGTAAATCGTTATTCATAATGTAGTCATATAATGCAAATGCAACAGACAAATGCTTTTACAGAAGTTTATACCTCGTTTTTATAATTTAATAAACAAATTCAAAATCCAGGTGATCGTTATAAAATATTACATGACAACCCATTTTTTATAGAGGTTATTATCCTGATATAACTGTTTACTTCAATAGGATATTAAAAGTTATAACCTTTTGGGTAAAAAGTTAACCGGGTATGACCACTAGCCCAAGTTTATATTGCCCGGTCCAAATTATGCTCTATGCTAATCTTAATTTTCCCAAAGTTCGCATTGTTACGTTGCATTAAGAATCGCAAAAATATCGATTTCCCTATGATTTGATTCAAAAATATCGTTTTATATATCATCGATGCAAATCGATATTATTCCCTTCCATGGTTATCACTCGAAAATTATATGATTTGATTGGCGAGTGATACACTCTACTCTATAAAAGCAAATATTTGATCGCACAAATTTGGAATAGTCGAGGTGAATTATGTAATATTTTACTATAACGTGAATATCAATATAAAATCTGAAATTATTCTATGATGTCCAAAACCCATAAATATAAAATCTGAAACTATTCTATGATGTCCAAAACCCATAAATATTTATAATTTAATCAATGGATGTTCACAACTATAATGCGCAAAGCTATAAAAAACTGTACAACCTATAATTGCACGGCATTTCATATATCATATATTAGATATGGTAAAATGGGTCTGACAAGATTACAAATATCTTATTATCCGCGAAGTAGTGATACAGGCTGGCCCGGAAAAATCGGCCTGGTGTCCTCGGAATGTAGACAATAAGACAACATTGAATACGAATATCTTATTAGGGTCAAAAAAAGATCAAACCTAATCTTAATAACTTTCAATCGATGTTTAAAGAGTGAGAAAGGTCGAGTATCTTTCATAATTGTTCAAAATTATTCATAAAAAGGACAGCCTGATCGGCCGCCAAGGCTGGTCGGCCTTGGCCCGAGATTTTTTCATAATGATGATTTATATTAACATTCCTGACTACAGCGTGGTTTATCTATTAGGCCTAGCATACTTTAAGTTATAATACATTATATTTCGCGTAACTTTCTAATATAAGTGCACTTATTTCAATTCTTCCTTAGCATACAAAATCTTTGATATATATTATAAAAATGATAACACTAAGCGGAAAGCAAATATTTTCTTTATGCATGGTTATTTACGTTCTTTTATTTGCTTTTCAACAAAAATTTTGGCGACAAAGTGAACTAGAAGATTATGATAAATTTATGAATATTCGTATGTATCCCTTTGAAAATATAAGCGAAATTTTCACAGATACATTTGTAAATGTTTATGTCAAAGTTATATATTCGTCGGATTAAAATAATTATAACACCACTAGCCCTCACTCTTATCTTTTCATTAATCCCAATAAAACACTGTATATACATTATTTAAATTTTTATCTGATACAAATTTTAATAGTTTTGACATACAACACAGACAACATATTTGTGTGAGAATTTTTTTAACAAACTTTTATTTAACAGGTTATAATCGAAATATATCCATATTTGAAGTTATCCCACCGCCAAATCCCAAGGACTTTACAAGTGATGAATACTCTTTTACCATTATTACGGCAGCTAGCTCTCATCATTGGTGTCAATTAACTAATTGGATAAATCACATAAACAATCTTCAACCATTTTTGCCAAAGTATATAAATCCAAGAATAATAATTTACGATTTAGGCTTAGATGAACAACAAAGAATTATACTTGACGCATTAAAACTTTATGAAAAATTTACTGAGCCCCGAACTTTTAACTTTTCGAAATATCCGGAATTTTGGAATCTTCAAAAAAATAAGACTTCAAGAGGTGAATTTGGTTGGAAAGTTGGAATTATCAAAGAAATTTCGATTGAATTTCCTGGATTTTTAATTTGGTCTGATTCTGGAACTCTTTTTAGTCAAAAAATATTCGAAAACCTTCCTGAAATTCTTAAATTATATAATGGTTTTATTTCACCAAAATCTGGAGGTACAATGGATATATGGACGCACTCGGGTGTTTACAAGTATTTTAATGATGATGGTAGTAAATATGTAAATGTTTCTAATTGCAATGCTGCGGTCTTGTTTTTTGATACCAAAAAAACCCAATATTTAATTGATGCATGGTATGAATGTGCACTTGAAAAAGAATGTATAGCACCATGGGGAAGCAGTAGAGAAAATCATCGACAAGATCAAGCTATATTGACTTATCTTATTACAAATGATTCCAGAAAATGTGAAATAGATAAAACGGATTTGGGTGTAAAGACACATGTATTTGATCACCTCTGTAGTTTAGAGGAAAAAACGTTACACTCCCGCAATAATCACACCTGAAATAGTCATATTTTCTTGAGACTATATACCAATCATTTATAGTAATATAAAATTAATTCTCGCTATAATCACATGAAATGACTATTATTATGTTTCTCTCACTATAGTCACATCAAGTTTCTGCCAGACAGTGTGACGATGTGGGAGTAGACTGTAAAGCTAAAAGAGATAGAATATATTTATCTTAATAAATGTGAATATAATTTTTAATTTTTTTTAGAAAATTTGTGTAATTCATTTCTATTTTTAAGAACATTAATAAATCTATTCCATGTGACTTTTAGTAATTATATATTATATCATGTAAAAATTTTTTTAATCCACTAATCCATATTAAATCTTGTGATTAGTATGGCTAATAAAAATCGTAAATTTTTTATTTGACGAATCAAAAAGTAAAAAAAAGAAATGAATGTCTAAACTGGTATACCAAAAAATGCAATTGATTGGTAAAAACAACTAATACCAGGAGCGGAATACAAAGTACGTAGAGTATGGTTTAACGGCAAGTGAAAGGATGTATCCGAATCCGTTAATCTGATTGGATTGCTTTTCATGTGATCTTGACTCCACAATATTGTATTACAGTATTACGTATTATGACACTTCCAAATTTGTCGGTATTTTTTTTCGAGTTGACATGCAGTCAACAGATCGAAAAGATGGCTAAACGGTGATGTAATTATCGCCAAGCACGTGGTCAAAGACTGGAGCCACATCGGCTAGAACTGGGTCGAACAATGCATCAGAAGTCAACATCATGAGAAGTAAACAATGACGTTCCATCAACTTCCGGATCCGGTAACCATGAGGTAATCATTGGCCCAAACAGATAAGTATTACGTTAAATAGAGATGCAAAACCATGTGCGTAGTCTATGTCTAACTAAATTGCCAAAACTTTTTTTCGCGAAATGAGTAAACGAAAAGCGAAAAGTAAAGATGACAGCCAAGATGGAAGCACGAATTTAGAAGACACAATTGAGGCGGGCACGCTATACGAAAGTCAAGGGCATGAAAGAAACGAGATGAATAGACAAATAGACACACAGACAAAAGCATATGTGGACACAATAATCCAGGCAACAACAACATCAATAATGGAAAACATGTGGCAATATATGGACCAACAATTGGAAATTCAGAGAGAATGGAGTTCGAGATGCATAGAGACAATTAATCAGCGTTTTGCGATGTTAGAACAGACTAATTTGATAGGTAGTGGAAATAACAACAATCGGCCCAGTGAGATGAAACATCAATAAGACAAAACCTGAAACTAGCAGAACTCAAACAACGCAAACAACTAGCACAGAGCACGACATAGAACGAGGAGAGGTAACTATCCATCAACTCTAGTAATTAATAGCTTAATCGTAAGAATCAATCCAGAAAATACCCATTTGGGAGTGGCAGAGTTTGATGAAGTCAAATCAGTGAAATACAAACTTACTAGCAGAAAATTCCCTGCATTGAGCTATGTGTCATTAAAACCATTGTCAGATGTACAAGGAATAACCAATAAAGAGGCCACTACAACTGAGCAAATTTGCAGATGGTGGGTCATAAATTGGAATGAGGGTCAAAAAATTATTTAACTATTGCCAATCAAACCAAGCTTACTAAACAAAACATAGAAGCTACTCGCATTCAGCTCATTTATAAACCTTCAAGATTTTGTGTACAAGAATATTGTTGATTATGTAAAGTATGAAGGTGAGGAAGCAGTATTGCAAACATCTGAAAGTGGATCAATATCAATAAAGAAATGTACACATAATACAGCATTCAGAGATATATCCGAGTGGTTAATGGTTTTCAAAGCATATATGGAAGCAGTACTAATATTATATGAGAATCGTGAGCAAGAATTGAATACATATAGAGATCACATTAATGAATTATGCATGAAATATGAATTTACAGCTGTAATGAGGTACGATGAAGATCGATGAGTTATGCTAGCAATTAATTACAATACTACATTGTTAGAAAGAGATATTGAGGCAGAAGGAAAGAATTTTGATATTACCGCAGCAAAGAAAATCAAGATCAAAGGGCGCCACCCAGGGTGCTGGATATTACATAGCATGATGGTTGTAAGATTTGTATTAATTGGAATAAAAGAACCTGTGCAGGAAAAGAGAATGTAGCAAAGTTCATATCTGTATTATATGTAGAAAGACAGGCTATAGTGAAAAGACCTGCTTTCGCAAGAATAATAGGTTTAAACAAACTGATTCAGCAAAGAATGATCTACAGAATAATAAATAGTTAAAATATATATAAATCTATACTTTTCGTGATTCTTCATTGTGGTGATGGGAATTCACTCGTTTAGTATTTAATTTTGAATTTCCATATGTATGTATAAATCTAATAATAAAATACTCTTGAATTGATTTTCACGCGTTCAACTAAGAAGTTAGAAAAATGTATTCCTATTCTACAATAAAGGATCATGAATAGTATAATTGTAAAAAAATTTTTATGCCTCCCTCAGGACCTCAGTCTGTTGCTATACTATTCGTGAATCTTCATTGCGGTGATAGGAATTCACTCATCTTAACTTCTTAGTATTTAATTTTGAATCCTCTTCTTTTTCATATGTATATATAAATCTAATGATATGATACTCTCGAATTGATTTTCATGCGCGCAACTAATTAAATGCTAAGTTAGAATAAATGAATTCTCATCATCGCAATGAAGGATCGTGAATGGTATAATTGTAAATTTTTTTTAAGCCTCCTTCGGGGCCTCAATCTGTTACTATACTATTCGTGATCCTTCATTGTGGTGATAGGAATTCATTTATTTTTAACATCTTAATATTTAAATTTGAATTTTCTTTTCTTCATATGCCCATATAAGTCTAATGATAAATTACTCTTGAATCGAATTTTATGTGTACAACTAATTAAATACTAAGAAGTTAGAAATGAATGAATTCCCAGCACTACAATGAAGAATTATGAATAGTATAAGTGTAAAAAATTTTAAGCCTCCTTTGGGGCCTTAATCTGTTGTTATGCAGCTTGCTGATAATAAATTATATAAAGAACGTATTGTGTGAAAAAATGAATTTATAATTTGGTAATTTTTTATTATTGAACTAAGAATATATTTGTTTAAACCTTTTTTCTTATATTTTCTCTTTTTCTTATCATATACTATGGATAACATTTGTGAAATCATTTCATCCACTCATGAAAGGATAAAATTAACATTAATGGCTTTCTTATGGTCAAGGATAAGTGCCGTAAAATGCATTCTACTGGTATTGTAAAAATCGGAATAAAATGCAGTGCACTGGCCGTGCAGTTACTAGGCTAGTTGATGGTCAACATTATTTTAAAAGTGCATCGAAACATACTTATGCAGCGCAGGCAAGCAGAGCAGAAGTTGTAAAGACAATTGCTAGAATAAAAGAACATGCACAGTTAACCAATGAAAAACTGGCTCAACTCTTGCAAACAGCAATTACTAATAGTCCTCATTATGTATATCAGTATCTTCCATTATCTGATGCAATTCGTCAAACAGTTCAGAGAATCTGTCATCTAAACCTTTCCAAAGAGCCCTCATCCTTAGATAATCTAGTTATTCCTGACCATATGAGAAGAACCTTAAATGAAGTAGACTTTTTAATTCATGATTCCACATTAGAGCAGGATGGAATGTTAATTTTTACAATATTGGATAATATTCATCACCTAAACCGATCACCATTTTGGGTGATGGATGGTACTTTTAAAACTGTACCAAATATGTTTAAGCAACTTTACTCTATTCATGGTATTTTTTTAGTTTTAATAATTTTAATTTAATATTTTTATTATATATATATTTATTTATTTATTTTTATTTTTATTTATATTTTAGAACGTGTAGGTGGAAGTGAAAATTCAAGAATCGTACCTTTAGTTTTTTCTTTAATGACCAGCAAATCAGAGGAATCTTATAGACAACTTTTTCAAGAACTTATAGATTTCGGTGAGGTGCATGGCATAGATTTGAGTCCTCAAGTTGTCTTAACCAATTTTGAAGCAGCTGTTATAAATTCTATTCAATCTGAATTTGATAATGTCCAATATAAAGGGTGTCACTTCCATCTCTCTCAGTGTATTTACTGTAGAGTTCAATCTCTTGGACTTACTTCAAGATATGGTAAAGATGAAGATTTTAGCTTATTAATAAGATATATTTCTGCCCTTGCATTTTTGCCTCCTGAAGAAATACTATCAGCATTTGATGAATTAAAATTACATATTCCACCTGAAGCTAGTCGTATTGTTCAGTGGTTTGAAGAAACATATG